TAGCCTCAGAAATTTTATTTGACTGATGACTTGAAAAGATGGGGAGGATCAGAATTCCAGTGCGGACTTTAAAACAAAAAGGCTGTTTAGTAGTTTTAAGTACTGTATGACAGGTGTTTTTATGATGAATGCATTGGCCTTTTATTAAATAGTTTGTGTTATCCAAAGCTTGCTACTATTGGCTCCGTGTGTGTGTGTGTGTGTGTGTGTGTGTGTGTGTGTGTGTGTGTGTGGTGGAGTAGATCCACACACACGCGCATGTTTGGAAACTAAAGGACAGCTTGAGGTATACCTTAGGGCGGCTCTCAACCTTGTTGAAATAGTTCTCTCACTTGGACCTCAGACTAGTTTTGACTAGTCTGACTGACCAGCAAGCTCTGACATCCGCCTATCTCTACTTCCCAGTGTTCGAGTTTCAGGCACATACCACCTCACCCAGCTTTTAGGTCGGTTCTAGAGACTGAATGTGTTTCCTCATGCTAGTGCAATAAGCACTTTGCAAATGGAACCAAACTATTCGCTTTTTAAAAGTATTCTTATTGTACATAGGCTCTGTGGGTTTGTATTTCTGTTTGCGTTACATAGTTGCAGTTGTGCCCTGTAACATGAACATGACAGTGTTTCTAACATTAAGTTTCCGTTCTATTTCACATGGTTTAGAAACATTATCATGGTCATAAACCATGTTTCATCAAATTTAAGAAGCTCTTGTTGGTAAAGAACATGACTAATTTATCTGTCACTAAAAGGGGGGGACACCTTGCTAGTTAGTGTGAAGCACTATCAACCAAGAGACGCACCTCGTTTTTGGAGGTGTTAGTATTTAGAAAACTTTTTTTTTCCAAGTTGGAAAAGCTCGCAACATTCGCTATTAGTACATAGAGTGGTTATAGCACTATTTTCTCTTTTTGAGATGTTTAGACTCATTTTGGGTTTTTCACTGTTACAGTAAATATTGCAATAAACCTGCTCTATACAAATTTGAATATTAAGGTGGGATAATAAGATTCATATTTTGATTATCTTAGGTTGTCAGAAATGCGTTTAACTCCTAAGTCAGAAGTTGTATCTAATATTCTAGAACCATAAGGCCAAATTATTGCGCAACTTTAACCCTCACCAGTTAGTAATGAAAGAGCCAGTTGCATTGCACCATCATCCAGCTAGAGTTTTGTCAACATAATAACAAAAGGCTGCATTATTTAGCTGGGTACAGCTCTGCACCCCTGTAATTCCAGGACCTAGGAGATAGAGACAAAAGAATCAGAAGTTCAAGGCCTCAACTATGTAGTCATTATAAGACCAGCCTGGACTGAGTAAGACACTGCCTCAAACAAAATAAAACAGCAAAACCCAAACTCACTTTATTGTGTTGTGGGGAAAGTAATTTTCACTTTGAGTTTTCAGTTTTAAATTAAAGAGAGTGGTTAAATGTTTACTATGTTTTTGTATTTCTGTGTTTTTCTATTGTCTATATGTTATTTCTCTGATGGATTGTTTTTATTCTCAAAGAGATTTTCAGTTTTAACTGGTTAATTTGTAGGGTCTTACTGTGAAGCTCAGTCTGGCCTTGAACTCATGACCTGCCTCAACTTCACGATGGTCTTCAACCTGGCTGAGATCTTCCTTTAGAGGGATGCTAACCAATTCTCTTTAGAATTCCTAGCACAGAATTTTCTTGTTTGCCTGAAGTTTTAATTTTGTAAAGAAATTCAATTTTTTTTTGTTTGTAGTCTATTTATAATAACATTGACTTTCCAATCTCATTGCTTGAGTTGTTTGTCTGTTTGTTTTGCTGTTCTGGGAATAATAGAACCCTGAGCCTCATGGCTAAGCAAGCACTCTTGCTAAGCTGTACCCCCAGCCCCTTCTTTGAGATTTATTTCATTCTTCTAAAATTTTAGAAATTTATCTGTATTTGTTTCGGGTATTTCTCCATTAATCTGTGGTTTTTGATGTCACTGTTACTTAATTACAGTAATTCATTGCATTTTTCATTTCAGTTCCTCCCTGCTAATCTTTTTAAATTTTGTTATTGACTGTGGGAAAGGTGCAGTGGTAGGAAACAAGCTTAGTATACTCACGGCCCGAGTTTCATTTATGTTTGCAAAAAAAAAAAAAAAAAAACAAATCTACTGTGCTTGCTTACCTGTTATTCATTAATAATTTCAGTTAGGGGTGTTTTTTAAACCTGTGATTGGAACTATATCAAACCATGAATTTTAAGAATCATTGGTATTTTGATATTATTTAGACTTGCCAGTCAAGCACTGAAACTGCTGCTCTGGAAAAACCCCGGTACATAGTGCAAGCAGACAGGCAAAGGAATATGTGCTATGGTGATTCTTGCTGTTGTTAGTAGTTAAGAGCAGTAAGAATCTGGAGGACAGATGAGATCATTGGGACATAGTTATACATTAGGATGCTCCACAAGCAGCCAGAGAGCTTGCTCTCTCTCACCTCTTTCTAAGAGAGGGATAGGAAGCTTTCTACTCCTTTAAAAATATTATATTTAGGGGCCTGATGGCCCAGCAGTTAAAACATGTACTTCTCTTTCAGAGGACTGGAGTTCTGTTCCCAGCTTCCATGATAGTTGGCTAACAAATGTCTGTAACTCCAGCTTCACGAGGTCTTCTTGCCTCTGGTTTCTAGAAGCACTTCTCATATGCACGTACCACAAACAGACCCGCATGCATACATATAATTAAAAGTGATGGGAAAAAATTTAAATTATTTAAATTAATCTAACCATTTTATTTAGAGCCTTAGAACTTTATAATAAAATATCATAGTAAAAAGCAATTTCTTTAGATTAGAATACATTATTTCATTTAGCTTAAAGTACCACTGAGGAAAGTGCTAGTGACGAATTTTATTTTCAAATATAGACCACATTATTATTGCTCTTAGTCACCCTATAGTATTAGATCTGAAAATCAATCATATCTGAAGTTCCAAATCGGCACCTGCTCATTCCCTTTCTTCTCAGTTGCCCAGCCTCTGGCAACCATCATGGTACTCCCAATTTCTATGTATTCAGTTGTTTTAGAATACTTGTCTCTCTCTGCTTGACATAATACAGTAATGATCTGTGTTGTCACATGTGACATAGCCCTCTCCCCTTCAGTGTTGTTTGTGTGTGTGCGTGCACCACAGTGGGTTATGTGGATGTCCGAGAATTGGTTTTCACCTTCTGCCTTTACATAGGTTCTAGGGATTGAACTCAGGTTGTCAGACTTGCGTAGGCGAGTGCTTTACCCACGGAGCCATCTCATTGGCCTGATTTACCCCGTTTTTAAGATCAAATAGCATTCTGTGATGTCTGTCTTTATTAGTCCATTCATAGACATGAATGTTATGAAGTGTGACGTGTGTTAGCCATGGGAGTGGTGCTCGGTGATCATGGGATGTAGATACCCCTTCACACGCTGACTTTTATTCCTTTGGATATGTCTCCTGGAGGAAAAATAGTTGGTGGTTCTACCACTAATTTTTTGAGAACCTCCACACCATTTCTTGTCCTAGCTATTCCAGTTTACATATCCACCCAGCACCCAGGAGTCCCCTTTTGCCCATGTTCTCACTAACACTTGTTGCCTTTCATCTTTTTGTATTTGGTTGGCTTGTGTCACAGTTCATTTGAGACCTAATTGTGGAGCATGGTGTGGAGCATATCCTGGCACTGCTCAGGTGGTCATCCCTCCCTCCCAGGGGTTGGGTGTGGCCCAAGGCAGATAGATGCTACCAGAACAGGGATGAAGTAACTACAGGGATTGTTTCCTTGTCTCTGATTTAGTTCCTTCTGCTTCTGTCACTATTTCTATTCTTTTCTTGGAGATATTTGGCGTGGTTTCCTTTTTAACTTTTTAAATTCTTTTTTATTGTTCTTCTCATATGAATGAATTATAATTGTAAATTCACACCCTCCCACTTGTCCTGCCAACTATATGAAGGCTTCCTTTCAAGAACCATTTCAGATTTTTAGCATTAATTTTGTTGAGCTATTTGTGGGCTTGATTCCATTTAATCTTTTCAGCATTATATTTGTAGACATATACAACCTGTGTGTGCAGACATTGTGTATTAGCTAGAGATTTAATTGTGGGGCTGTATACTTTCCTTCCCAGAACCATGTTTATTTTCCTATGGTTCTGTGAGAATGCATGGGGCTGCCCAGTCCAAAGATTTTTTTTTTATTTTTTTGCACATTGCTGTTGTTTTTGAAAGGCCATTCTGTTGGAATGTGCTTTGAAAGAGGATTTTTATTTCTTTTAAAAGCCACAAGACAAATTTACATTTATATCTGATCATTAATCTTGACTAGAAAAGTCCTTTAAGTGGAGTTTAAAGAATTTTTCTTCATATTAGGCATTATATCTTTTGCTGTTGTGATTTTATTCCTTGTTTCCTTTTGTTGTGGCTGACTTTTCCACTACCCTCTCTGCTGTTAGATTTTATGGGGTCACACTTTATTTTCTTCATATTGCTATAAAGTACCTACACACATATAATAATATATATGGACATTTATATCCTTTGCCATCATTTTAGGTTTAAAAATGTTACCATTATCATTATTTAACCTTTCCTTTTTTACTTTAAGAGCCATTTCATTTTAAAATAGAAAAATGAAAGTCAAGAATATTCTGAATCTAGTCCATTCATCAAGACTAGATAGGAACTAAGTATTGTTTTCCCAGTACTGGGGATAGAGTGGAAGGGCCCTTGCACATGCTAGGCAGCTGAGCCACATGCCTGAGCTTGTGTTTATGTAGCAAATGGTTCTGCGTTACAGTTGGCTCGTTTTAAGTGTGAGTGGGTGAACTAGACACAGGTCAAACAATGCCCAGAGAGTAAAATCAGTAGCCAAGTGTGTGCCATGGGAAAGGTATCCAGTTGAGAGTGGATGGGACTGGCCAATCCATGGAGAAGTGGGCATGCTAGGAGCTGAAAGTTACTGTCTTTTAACTTGGCTTGTTTTTGTTTCTTTGTTTGTTTAGCATTCCATATTGGAAGAAGAGATCTTTAGACATGAAAAAAATGCCTTTGTTTAGTAAATCACACAAAAATCCAGCAGAAATTGTGAAAATCCTGAAAGACAACCTGGCCATTTTGGAAAAGCAAGACAAAAAGACAGACAAGGTATGATTTAAAGCAAAGCTATTATTAAAATGTGTGTATTTCAAGGCCACGCCCATGTAAAAGCTTAATGAAGAATTAAGTGTGGTCCCTGTTATGTTCATAGGTTGTTTCGGGTTTTTATGCAGCTAGTAAATGTTGGGTCTGTTGTACTGAACCTTTCTCCAGTGTCCCTCTGACCCAGCCCAAGTCTCTGTAGACATCAGAGCTGTCTCGTTGTACTGTGTTATGGTGATGGGAAAGACAGAACTGGCACAGTTCTTCCACATTGTTCTGAGGTCTGACCAAGGGACTTTCTCATAGAGAGGCCTTTGTTCATTCTTTGAAGGAATTTTAAGCCCCACATGGTTGGTTCTCTAAGCAATGACTAGATTCAAGATGACCTGTTATAAAATAAAAGACCTTAGGGTCATAGTGTGCTTCTATCTCAGTGTGTGATAAACCCTTAACCTTTCTAAGGAATTGGAGAAATATCTTGTTCTAATTCGGACAGTCTTTGAGACAGCCAATTTTTGGTTTAAATACAAACTAAAAATAACCTTCATAAAGTATTTAAATGGCAAACATTAAAAAGAAAAATTAAAAGCCTCCAAGTTTTCATTACTAAGCGGGAGAAGGTCAGTTAAGCCCAGAGCACATTCACGTTCGCAGCACCGCTGACGAGGATTAAGAGCAGGACTGCTTCTGCTCACTGCAAGTGACAGTGCACATGTGTCTGAGCTTTGGAGACATGTTCAGTATTATCTGATGAGTAGGAAATATGCGTTGCGAAGTCCTACTGGCCCACTAATGATACCTAGACACATTCTGTGGGCATGCTTTTGAATATGCCCACTCTACCAGGATTTTTTCTTTTCAGCCACCAACCACCACCCTAATCATGACACAGAAACTTATTAGTTTTGAACGCTCGCCCTAGCTCAGGCTCATTTCTGGCAAGGTCCTTTAACTTAAATTAACCCGTTTCTCTTTAGCTACCTTTTGCCTTGGAGCTTTCTACTTTTCTCTCTTCTGTGTATCTTCCTTTCACTGTTTCTCATATCTCCTTTGCTGGCAACTGCCTGGCTCCTGGACCCAGGCATCTCTCTTGTTCTCTCCTCTTTTTCTCCCTTTCCTTCTTCTCTCGAGCCTGGATTTCTCCTCCTATTTATTCTCTCTGCCCGCCAGCTCCACTTACCCTTTCTCTGTCTAGCTGTTGACCATTGAGCTCTTTATCAGACCAATCAGGTGTCTTAGGAAGGCAAGGTGAAACAAATGCAGCACGTCTTTACATAATTAAACAAATGCAGCATAAACAAAAGCAACACACCTTTACACAGTTAAAGTGATACTCCGCAGCATAAGCACATGTAACATATCTTTGCCTAGTTAAAATATTATTCCACGACAGCACACCAGGAGAAACACATGTGAATGTACGGTAGTTTCCGGCTTCTTAATGAGAATTCACAAACAATAGGACCAAGAAAGATGTTGCAGCATACCCAGCCGTGATTGGAGGAGTAGAGATGGGGCACTTGCTGAACGGCTGCCTCCAGGCAGCGGCAGAGAGGAGTTCCCCCAATGGGAAGCTGAGTGAAAGGAGTAGCGTGTGTAAGGGTACAGGTCTTGCTTCAATTTCCAAATGAGAGGGGTTACAGCAACACAGAGGTAGGGAAAGTAAGGAATGATGAACCAGTTATTATGACTGAGGTTACTTGCTTATACAAAGGCAAAGTTTATTTGTTCTCCGAGTTTTGGAAACTTCAGTCTATGACCAATCGGCCACAGTGTTCTGGGGCCTCTTATAGTGACAGCCCATCATCATATAGGGAACCTGTGACAGAGCTTGTAGCTGGGATGGGAAAGGAAAAAGGTCATATGTCCATCCCACAATCCCATTCAAATGCATATTCCCAGTGACTAGGAGAGACCTCCCCTGGGGCCCTGCCACCCTCAGGATTGCCACACTGAACACATGGGCCTTTGGGGAACATTTAAAATCCAAATTATTATTATCTCATGAAGTATAAAAAGGTGCACAAGGTGACAGGGTGCTGAAAATATGGTCTCCTGGCTTGGACTCATGATAGCAGAGAGCTTTTCTTTATAGGTATTCTTAAGCCTGTAATAAGCTAAAGAATTTGAGAAATGCCTTTTGTAGTGCCATGCTGACAGAAGTTGTTTTTTGTAATCCTGTCTTATTCCATTCATTTTCTTCTCATTTTTGGTGATGTGATACTTGCAATATAAAATCAACCAAAAATAAACTTTTTTAAAAATAGAAACACAAATTGTTTACTAAATTAGTCTTTCTTTTGTCAACTGTACTAGTTTAATGAGGGCTTTTGAGGTAGAATTCTCATACCATATAATTTCTCAACTCTGGGTTTTTACAACTCACAAGATTGTGCAACCATCCCCACTATTTAATCAAGAACATCTCCATCATTCCCGAAAGAAACCCACACCCATTATTAGTCATTCCTCGCATCCCACTCCCCGACTTGACACTAGCTACATTCTGCCTCTATAGTTCCACTTGTTATTCTTGAACTGTAGTAAACCGATACAAGTTTTACAAATAGAAAATATACGATTGTGTAGGAGGAGTAAACATGTCGAAAGCTTATGAGTTGTATATAACAACTTGGGGGTTTGTGCCTGGGCTGTTGGAAGACCAAGAGAGTAGGGAGCCATTGAGAAATTGTAGCAAAAACTTTGTAGCACTTGGTAATTCCTGAAAATACTCGACATTTCAAGAATACACTTTGTTTTTAGCTTGTCTCAAGTTAGGCTGAATAATATTGTTTGAGACTTCAGTTATATTTCTAAGAGGAAATATAAGGAATCTTTTTCATAAATTTTAGTAACTTTTTTCAAGATTAAAGAAAGCAATACCTACTAATGTTGCTGCTATTGTTTATTTATAGTCAGAAAATGATCTTTGGTTATAAATAGACAAGGCCCAAGAAATGTTTGTGTGTATGTGTGTGTGTTGTTGTTGTTGTTGAAAGTTGTTTGTTGGGTGTGTGTTGTGTGCTCCCTTACAACCTAAAATTTGTATTCTTTCTAACTATTAACATGCTCTCTGGTCACTAGGCTTCAGAAGAAGTGTCGAAGTCTCTGCAAGCAATGAAGGAGATTCTGTGTGGTACAAATGACAAGGAACCCCCTACAGAGGCAGTGGCCCAGCTGGCACAGGAGCTCTACAGCAGTGGACTGCTGGTGACACTGATAGCTGACCTGCAGCTGATAGACTTTGAGGTGAAGGCTCTGTCCAAGGCTGCCCTCCTGCTTCTTGAGTAACTAGTGAGCGTCTGTATTTGACTTAGAGGAACTGATGTCCCTCCTGGGTCTTAGCAGTAAACAAGTTCGCACTTAAGACAGTTAATGTCCACATATGGTACAAACAGCTTTCCTAAAACCTTTACAGGCAGACTCATTAGCAGGCAAAAAGGCAAACTGTGATTAAGTTTTCTGCAGCTGGGTCAGTGACCACTGTTCACAGGAGGTAACAATTACTGGTACACAAGGTACAATTTCAAGCGCACAACTCATTCTTAGAATGACCTTTATGGCAAATAAATTGTATTCATTTGTTGGGGTGTGTGTGTGTGTATGCCGGTAGTTGTGTGTCCTAGTCCATGTCAGGACGACTCTTTGGAGTGGGTTCTCTCCTGTCACCTTGCGGGATCAGGAGGTCAAACTCAGGTCATCAGGCACAGGAACCTTTTCTCATTGGCCCTGTTTATCCCATGATATAGATAAAGAACCCCAAACTCAAGATTTTAAGTAATCTTCCTAAAGCCATGGAGTTGCTAAGCTGCATCTGTGATCCAAAGACTGTATTATCAAGCCTGTTCTCATTAAAATATTATACCAAACCAATAATTCATTAAATGCCATTATAGTTGTATGTTTTGGCATCATTTTGAAAGTAGTTTAACCAAATTTACCAAGCAATTAGATAAAAGCAGTAAGTATGTTATAAGCATTTTATTATTGTATGTTATTATTTATTGTATACCTTATCTAATAGTGAATAATGGGAATATTTGTGGCAGGTTTGTATATATACTATTTAGATGGTAGTCAGCCTGTTTTCCTATTTCTTTCTTTCTACCAGTATACTTGGTAGTATCAGGTAAGTGTTTGGTTTAATTGCTTTTCATGGACAAAAGATAATGCAGATTTTTTAAAGCAAATTGATGTTATCTTTGTTTACAAACAGAAGAAAATTAACTACAGTGAGTCAGCTGACATAAGGTCAGGGTTCTAGGAATCTGTGGAAAACCAACCCACAGCTCCCTGAACAAATGAGATGGACATAAAAAGTGCAGACAAGGCTGGTGGGGTATAAAATCAGGGTGTGCTGGAGAAGGGCCTCAAAGAACCCCGGCTTTAACTCATTCTTCCTTTCAGATACAACTGGCTGTCTCTTTCTTTCTCTCCCTTATTCTGTTTCTCCATCTGACCCATAGTGTCTTCTGTTCCTTGGCCTTGACTTGTTAAATCCCCGCCTCCCTCCACTTGTTCTCATTTTCCTTTTCACCCTGGCTATGCATGGAATCAAAGCATGCCTTTACTATGTTCATATATGTAAATGTTTCTTATTTAGTTTAAAATTAGGTAGCATGAACATAGTAGAGGCTTGGCATAGTGGAAAACACTTGACTTGGTGATGCAGCTGTCTAGCCGTCTGGAGTCCAGCCTTTGCTGCTCATTGTAAGGCCAGCAAATGAACTCTTCTAGCCCAAATCTTCTCGTCTCTGTAGAGCAATGACGGGAACTGATAACACTTCTGACAGTACTAAACTATGTAAAGACATGCATCCCGTCACGTGCACACAGAGCTGTGAGGATGGAGGCGGTCTCCAACTTTCCTAGCCTGCTTATAGGAATGTGCTACGCATCTCCATGAACCGCAGGCAAGGCCCTGCAGCCTGGAGGTAACACCGTTCCTTCTTCAGACCAGAGTATCAATTCAAGCCAATGACTGCTTGATAAAATTCTTCCTTGTTTCAAAATGTATTCTAACCATAGAGAACCCCTAACCCTTGTCTCTCAGGTCATAGGTATCATTCAGAAGCCCCTTTTGTTTTGAAAGTGCCTTGGATGCTAGAACTGTATTTCCTACAACTGAGCTACTGCTAATCAAAGCTGTGCGGCACCTGGAATTTTCTTTGGTGCACTCCGTCCATTGTTACATAGCGCTTTGAACATGCTGTTCTGCGCCTGCCCTTGGTCACATTCTTTCCAGCAGCCCTCTGGAAAGGGACTACTGTTAGGTTGGTTGGTAGAATAAAAGAAGGTATCCTAGCCAGGCACAATTGCACACTTACAACCTCAGCAATCAGAAAGGAGGCTGGGCTGAGAGGATCAGATGTTCTAGGCTTGTTGGGGCTACTTAGAAAACTGTAAAAAAAAAAAAAAAAGACATCAATAAGCCATTTTTCTTAAGGAATTAATAAATTATTTGGTAGACAATTCAGGCTCTTTTGAATGGTGATTATAGCATTTCCCAAAAGGGGAAATCTTTCACCGTGTGTCTTTGAAGAGCACAGCAGGCATTTGACTAGAATTTCTGATGTTTGTATAACTGGGAGGAAAATTACTGTTTTAGGGATGGGCTCCTGTTCTTGCCAGATAACCCAGGGGAAGAAACATTCCTTGCAGAGGGGGGAAAGGAACAACAAAAGTATGAACTTTGGTTTAGAGTCCACCGTGGTGGGCGTGAGGCAGGTTGTTAGTTGTGAAGGTTGTATAGAGTCTGGGCAGTGACTGGCAGGAAAGCAATGGACTTAGCTACCCCTTTCAGAGAACGGTGACAGAAACAGGAGAGTAGTCTTCTTTAGCAGAAGAGAAGCACTGGGAACACGGAAAGAGAAGGCTTGAGACCACCACCAGAAAGGAAGGAGGATAAGGAAAACGATGACTAAGCAGACTGAAGATGTTTTCATGGGTCCGGGCTTCACCGTTATTGTCCTGGAGCCTTCTTAAGGACTGGTGTGAATGGTGTATGTTGAGGGAAGGACACAGAATGGTTTTCTACGCTCAGGAGGATGAGAATTGCCTGTTGCTGGACCAAGACAGTTAACAGGGTTTGCAAACTGGGAGACAGAGATTCAGAGCTCACACTGGCAGCAGTGGTGCTTCAGGAAGACATCAGAGTTGACGTCTAGGACTAACGCAGGAGTAAGTGACAAATTCATTTCTCCTGTAAGAATCCAGAGGAAAGTGACCTGTGGGGAATGGGACAAGAGGGGAAGATTCTGCCATCAGTAAGTAAGAGCGAAAAGATAGACCTGAGTATAAAAAAGAAATCTCATTACTCAGCCATAAATTCTTATCTAATCCTTTAAGCCTTAAATTTGCTGACAGAAAATAACCATTTGAGTATATTATAAGGTTGAGGGAGGGACGGAAGGTAGGAAGGAAGAACAGACTGACCTACCTTTACTGGATTCAGAAAGACTGATAGAGCCAAGGGGCACTGATGCAGCTTTCCCTTCAAACACCTCCAGACATTTCCTGGACCCCATTAGAACAGAGCCCATTTTGGAGCACAGTGAGAGGAAAACCTTATTCAGACTGTAAGTTTGAGTGACAGCTGATAGTAAGTGAAGGAAAAGGAAACTAGGACAGGAGAGTCATTCAGTTAGACCATGGACTGACCCTGGAGTCTGGAGCTTGAGGAGCAGTTTAAATAGGAAGGGAAGCGTCATGGGGTGTCCAGAGCAGTTGCCAGCATCTATCTCAGTCAGGTGAACATGAAGAGCTGCACATACTGGCTGAGCTTACAGGATGTGTATTGTACTGTCTGTAAGGCGGGAGAGACTAAGGAGCATAGGCATGTTTTGTACTGACAGAGAGATTCTACAGAGCATCCTGGGATACAGATTGGACGGCTGTGACCTCCCAGACCTTCTTTGTGATGCTGCTGAACTCCCGTGGACCAGCAAGGGGACTGTGGCATGCTCTTTCCTTTTGGGGAAACTGCAGTGAGCCCATTCACTGGAGATCGTTGTAAAGGATCCAGTAGCACTGAGTCGGAGTCCTAGGACATGAATTTTCCATAAGCAATGCCATTGCTACTTCCTGCCGTTGCTCCCAGAGCCTCAACCTCAGCGGCAGGATCAGCCTCCTCAAGAAAGACAACAGAAAGCTTATTGTATTCTCTCCGAAAAACAGTGATATGGTGCCATTTTGTAACTGGTGGCTCCGTCTTATTCTTTAGTACCAGTATTCAAAAGGAAGGAACACCAGAACTCTGAGTTTGAGGCCAGCTTCACATATATACATTAAGTGCCAGGCCAGGCAACATCGTTAGACCTCGTGTTACAAAAGAAAACATGGCACTTAGGACTAGAATGGCAAGACCTCTGATATCGTGGGCTCAAGATTAAACTTGGAACTGTGTCTTTTGAAGTTTGGCCACTACTTAAGACATAGCTTTAGGTCATTTCATATTCTGTAATGCAGGTGGTAAGAGATCAAGGGGTTAAAAAAAATTATTACATGGCAAGACTGATGCATTTGCTTTAAAGGCAGGTATGCCTTGCCACGTAGGGGTGGGTGCAAAAGTCGAGTGTTCAGGCTGAATGAGAAAGCAACTCAAAGTGGCAGAAAATGACTGCGATCTAGCGGCCGTTTCTTACTATTGTCAAACTAGAATGCAAGGGAACGAGCCACTGCCAACAAGAGTGTGTGAGCGAAGGGTTTCAAGCCAAGATGAGGAGAGCCACCTGAAGAGCCAAGGATAAGCGGAACAAAGGGGGGGTGTAGAGACAAGCCAAGATGAGGAGAGCCACCTGAAGAGCCAAGGATAAGCGGAACAAAGGGGGGATATAGAGACAAGCCAAGATGAGGAGAGCCACCTGAAGAGCCAAGGATAAGCGGAACAAAGGGGATGCAGAGAACTGTTGGTACAGTTGGGCTGGTTGACAAGAATAGCACGAGCTCTTGACCGGTTGTTGCTCGCTGGTGTTAAACATTCAAGGAAAGAACTGGTGATAAGCTGGAAGAAAGCATTTTTCAAGCTATTTAACTCTTTCTAATAGTACTAGTTCTAATAGTTCTCCACACAGAACCAGGATGAACCAGTTCAAGGTTAAATTAACCACATCATGAGATTTCAGAATCCCAGAGCATGCAGTTGCTATGGTAACCATGACTGCCTGGCACAGTGGGGGCTTTCAGACCTTCTTCCTTTCTATGTAGCTTCACCATGGTAGAAAGCCCCGACAAAACAGACTTCTCATCAT